TTTATTTGCTTTAGGCAATTCAGGTGAGTGCGTAAGCAAGCTAGAGGAGACTAGCGCATAGGCTATATGATTATAAAGCAAACTGTAATCAGTAATGTAGAAGCAGTTACTCCTACTGGCCAAGAAAAGGGAGTGTTTTGTTCATTTTTGTGCTTTGAACACTGTCCATGTATTTTTGTACAGAGGTTTTTTTTTTTTTTTTTTAAATCTCAATCCATCATTGTCAGTGGCTTTTTCTTATATTGGTGTTGTTAGATTGTTTATGTTAGGCAGAAGAGTACTGTGAGTACTAGATTACCTGCCTGTTCTCTTTCTCAAGACTATTATCATTCACCAAGTTTTGAAAAGTTTTCCTGGATGAGTTTTGTAAATTTAACTAGTCTTTATGAAGCATGAGGAGGAACTTGGGAAATTTGTGATTTATTCCCAACATTATATGACTCAGGGCTTCATTTTCTGATGAAGAAGCTGAATGGGGAAAATATGTGGTGAGGATTTCATAATAAGTCATGGAATCATAATAAATCTCTCAGGTTCCAAATAAAAAGGCCTTTATAAAACACATTTTGAAAAAGATTGGGAATACTTGTTGGATTTAAGCAATTTCTTTTTTTTAAGCAGGAATACAAAGTTTTATTTACAATAATTTTATAGTTTTTTATCTTTACTAAACAAATTAAAGTTGTATATATTTATCACATACATCATGGGAATTTTTTTAAAGTTGTAGGTGGACAGCATGCTTTTTTGTTGTTTAGTTTTTTATGCGGTGCTAAGGATCAAATGCAGTGCCTCACACATGCTAAGCAAGTGCTCTGGCACGGAGCTACAGCCCCATATGTTTTGAAAACATATATATTGTGTAGAATGAATAGAGCTAGTTAACGTATGTAATACCTCACATATTTATCTTTTTTTGTGGTGAGAACACTTAAAGTCTGAAAATAAGGTATTTCTCTACCTATAAACTCATATATAAGTCATTTGTTTTCCAAAAGTTTATTTTGAGTTCAAATACAGCAAAGCCATGAAGGAGAGGGAATTTATAATGTGAAAAAATAACTAAAGTTATATATAGGATTTAATTTTTGTTATTTAGTCCTATGTGGTTAATAATAACGACAACCTGTAAACATAAACTATGTAAGATGTAGGAATGGTGTGATTTCGTCTATGGAAAAAAAATGTCTGTGCATTTATTTTTGGGAGGTTCATAGAGATGGTGTTTTTGGTGGCAAAGTGGTATGAGTATATTGGGGATTTAAAAGCCCAGCAAAACCCCTTGACCACTATGCATAAAGAATTCAAATCCAGACACACATTAATTTGTTATTTTCTTCATTCTACTATAAATATATTCCAAGGGGGACGCTTTTCTTTTCTTTCTTTCTTTCTTTTTTTTTTTGTGTGTTAGCTATGCTGTTTTTAGAAGATAGCCCAATCAATTCATTGGAGATTTTGTTTTTCTTGTAGCCCACACATTGTCCTCTAAACTTAATATCTTAAACCTAGACCATAGTATTTAAGTTGCCCTTTTTTTGTAAGGTATATTTCCATATACCACCTACTGAAGGATGTTTCTGAAATCAATCATTCAATCAATCAATCAAATTGACCAGCAAGTGTATATTTGATATTACTGTCACTGTTCTTAGTGCGAATTAGAGTGTTGATCTGGTTTTCTGATTTTATTCCTTCATTTTAGAATTAGAATTATTATAGTGTTATATAGGACTTCCATTTTCAGCTAATTAAAGTTCTATAATAGAGCAAAGATAAAGAATTTTCATAGTTAAATGAAGGATGAACTAGATAGAACAAGCTGCACTATACAAAACAAATCTTTTGCAAAGTAGGAGTTAGCAGTAGTTACTGAATTATTACTGTATGCCAATCAAAGCTTCCTAAAAGATTCTGGAATTGTAATGTTTGTAAATCACATTTACTTTAATTATAATATATAAAAAGCAACCCAAATGTAAGTTTAAACAGAAGGAGTTTAGTAGTGTTACTTGTGTTCTGCTATTGTACTTGGGTATCATGAGGATTTGTATTAAACTTCTTGATACTCTGAAAACTACTTTTGTTTCTCAAAGTACATGAAAAAACAAAGAGTAATTTTAAAGACAATTATATAATTATAAAAGAAAATATAAATGCATATTTTCCTCTCATGATGGTTAATAAATATTTTATCTTATTTATCTAATCTATCTTATTGGTTCTATTTCTCTGGAGAACACTGACTAATACAGTAACATATTTCTAGGTTGATAAGAGTTCCAAAAATTTTCGCCTGCTATTATTTAGAAAATAAATGATGGAATTAAAGTGTTTTGAAATGCCTGGAGCATGCAAGGCTATATTTAAAGAAAACATATAAGTGGGGCAGAAGACACTAAAAGTAGTGAATTAGTGTTTCCCATGACCAAACCCATATTTGAGTTGGGCTCCCTCTGAAGGGAGGTGGGTTATTTTCTGTTGAAAAGGCTGGGACTCCATTCTTTTCTCCTCATCATTTGCAAAACTAATAGGTCAGAAATACTGACAAGCATACAAAAGAAAAATTTAAATTATCCCCAATTCTGCATCTCCAGATATAGCATTCTGATACTTGTTAAAACAGCACAGAAGTCTTGATTCAGCACTATTGCAGCAAGTGTCAAGATTATTGAGGTGGTGAGATAAATTATTGTTTAACTTCATGAACATAAGAACAAGATTTATAGCCAAAGTTGCTGGTTGATAAGGGTGAATCCTAGTATATGTTGATTACTTCTCCTTAACAATGTTTAATTTCATGTACTCTTAAAGATGTTTTCCTTTTGACTTTAAGACTGCTTGTGACTATAAGGAGAAATTTACAATTTTGAAGTCATGTAAATGAATAGTATTCTTCATTTGATCTCATTTGTTATTTACTAAACAATTTTAATTACTTAAATACCAATAGATAATCTTTTAAATCATAATTTTGAAGAGTATTTATTAAAATAGGAAGATGCCTATAATAGGAATCTAAGAGGGGAAATAAGCAGATATTGAAGAGTCAATACTATACAATTGTATTTTTTTTTGAAATGTACATGCACAAGGAAGAAAAGAAGACACTAATGTTTTTGCATTAATTCTCTCAAAATGGCTAGATTGCTAGTGGTTTCCTTTATCCACTATAAATCCATAATTTGCCAAATTTTCTAAAATAAGCGTATATTTATTATCAGAAAAGGAAAAGAGATTTTGTAATTGCAGAAATTTGAAAATTTAATGAGAGCATTTTAGGACTAAACTATGAAAATATGGCACAGATACTTGAACCTGAACCTTGACTGAAACTTCACATATTATTTGCCTTTGTTCTATTTTAAGTGCAATGTGTTTTAATTGAACATGTGCAAGCACAAATAGAGAGTAGTTGATTATTGATATGATAGTTTTTGAGGAAAACAACTTTTTTCATATTCTATTTAAGCAATACCTACCAACTTTATGACTCCCTAACATGGACCATTTACCCTAGTGGGAATAATCTCATTCTTGTCCTATTTTTCTTCTACAAATCTCATTTCTTCTCCTCTTCCTCCTTCTCATCAAGATTGTTTGTTTAATGAAAATATGGATGTACAGAAAACGGCATAAGGCAACACCTCAAATATAAAACCACCAATCACCTTAGAAACCCATCACCTAAAAGGGAGGCTGTGAGATAAAGTGAGTAGAAACACTGAAACAATACTGTAATGATACTTTTCTAAAACTAAAACACATTCACACATATCTAAAAATCTGGAAATAAATACACTGACATCCTAACTATTACAACACTAATGAATAAACTGTTAAATCAGAAATAAATCTTCTTTAACAATTAAAATCTTTGTTATACCTGATCTGTATTGATGTATCACACACCCCCTACCCCCAAAAAGCCACTCTGTTTTCTTTACCTTAGGGAATTTGTAATGGGATGTTTTCCATGTTATGTCATCTTCTGAACACATGATCATGTGTTTAACCTTTTCACTAGTGCTGGGTCATTAAATATTTACAATCTATACAGAATTTCAAGGCAAATGTTTTGATTTTCCTTAACATCACATTGGAGCATCCTTTTATTTTGACTCCAAAATAACCATCATGGACAAAACATAATTGGCAATTCAGCAGTAATACTCTGGGATATTGATAACCCAGATGTAAAGTATTAACTAGTCATATATACATTTGACTGTGGGCACCAGTCACCATAGGTCTTCTCTTTCTTCCATCCTCATTCCAGCTCACACACTCCTCTCCAGGAAATAGTATTAGTTTGGCTCAAATCTAAAAAGAATGCACACCTTCAAAGAAATTTTGAAAATTCAAAATTCGAAAATTAAAAATCCCTGGGGAATCACATCACCTAAAGATTTCCACTCTTAATATTTTGGTGTTTCTCTCCCTTCTCTTTGTTCATGTATTTGAACAGAAGACTTTTGAGTCATCTTTCTGGTCTCCTTTCTTGTTGGTTAATTTTCTCAGGCTTTCTTGAAACTACTGTTCAAGCAGTTTCAACCAGCTCCTGCCCTCCCGAATTTTCTTCAGTAAATCCCCCTCCCGTCTTGGAGCTGCTACCTCTGGGAAGGTGGGTGGCGCTAGAGATGTGCTGGATCTAGTCACTCATTGGACGAGACCTTGTCAATCACCGTCATTCAGCAAATAGGGTGAGATGTGAAGCCAAAAGAGGAGTTCAGAGGGTTCTCTGTGTAGTAGGTTTACGGCACCTCCTCTTTTTGCCAGGCAGCTAGTGGAAGAGGTCTTCATTGGGCTGTTTCTGCCTTCGCCCTACGCCTGCTTTCTTATAGCGCCCGCCTCGTCCTCCGTGGCGCGCTCCACGTTACGCCAGCTTCTCCAGCAGCCGTTGCCTCTTCTGCCTCTGTGTTGGCCCCCGCTGGTGCCTACGGACCAGGCCAAGCCGTCTTCTTCACTTTGGTGAGTCTTTTCCCGTCAAAAAGCTGAAGATGGAAGGGCTCGGAGAACAAGGCGCAGCCGGTGCAGTGGGTCCGTTACTGGGCGCTGTGGCAGCCCCAGCCTCTCCGCAGCTTTTGCTGGGGTACTCCTTAGACGCGGACTTTATTGAGAGTCTGCCTCTGGCAGTTAAGTGCCGAGTGTATGCTCTCAAAAAGCTTCAGGCTAAATCCGCCGGCCTGGAGGCAAAGTACCTCAAGGAATTTCATTCCATCGAGAGGAAATTTGCCAAGATCTATGGGCCTTTACTGGAAAAGAGACGTCAGATCATCAATGCATTGTATGAGCCCACGAAAGAGGAATGTGAGGTGAAATCCACGGTCGCAGACTGTAACTATAAGGTGGCAGAGAACTCTGAGGCTCAGGTGTATGGTCCGGAAGAGAATTCGGAGTATGAGGACTTGGAGGAGTATTGTGAGGAGGGTTTTGAGGACGTTGAGGAGGTATTTGGGGAGTATGGAGGAGGAGAGGGACATAATGTGGACGGAGAGAAAGAAGATCCTAAAGGGATCCCTGATTTCTGGCTCACGGTTTTAAAGAATGTACAGGAGATCACTCCGCTGATTAAGAAATATGATGAGCCTATTCTGAAGCTCTTGCAAGACGTGAAAGTCAAGTATTCAAAACCTGATGAGCCTCTCACCTTCACGTTGGAATTTCACTTTGAACCCAATGACTACTTTACAAATGAGGTGCTAACCAAAACATACATGCTCAAGTCTAAGCTTGATTACTCAGATCCCCACCCCTTTAGGGGTTCTGCGGTGGAGCATTGCATTGGCTGCAAAATAGACTGGAAGGAGGGAAAGAATGTCACTGTGCAAAGGGTCCTGAAGAAGCAGAGGCACAGGTTTTGGGGACTGATGCGTACCACGACCCAGGAATTTCCCCGAGAATCCTTCTTCAATTTCTTCAATGCTCTCCGATGGGGCCTAGATGCCGATGAGGATGAGGAAGATGTTTTCATTGCTCACACTTTGCGCACCTTTGTCATCCCAAGAGCTGTGTTATACTTCACAGGAGAAGCTCTTGAGGCTGAGCAAGAAGGGATGTTCAGGGAATGTAATAACCTGACTTCTGACAGAATCACACAGGAGATCCAGGTGGCTGCAGTTGATGGTGCAAAAGTCCAAGACCTGGTCTCCCAGGCAGAAGACATCGATCGCTGAAGTAGAATGGTTGGAGTTTGTGAGCCCTCTGTTTAATAACTGGAAGTTAAAATAACCAACACTTAATCATAAATTACCTGCAATCTTAGTGTGTGTATCTCTTTTGGTAGTTTCATATAAAATGATGTTTATATATATTTAGCAATGCATTTCACCTAACACTACAGTGGTTTAAACTTTGTCAAGAAATGTAGAAGGAGGTGAGCTCTCTAAGCACGTGAATAACTTACTATTGTAAATTCATGGTTTTTGTCAGGTTACTATTAGTCTCCAGCTATGGAAAATTACCAGAACTTATAACAGATTTATATGTTTGGTTTCTCCTCTCCTTTGAAGCAATAAAACCTGATAGCCTCCTTTCCCCAAGCCCTCTCAAGAGGCTTTAATCTGTTGTGCTAGCTGTGCCTTCATCTCTTTGTTATAGATATGTAGCAAGTAACACTAACTAAATTACACTTGATTTATAATTTGAGAAATTGCTAGTATAAGAATAATTTGCAGCAAATCCACATTTAATAACTGTCACTTTGTTTATAGGCTCCTGTGTTTATGTGATATAGTTATCTGCTCAAAACCTAGTTTTATTATTGCTTAATAATAAATTAAATGCATTATGCTTAAAACCATTTCTCCTAAGGCCTGCCATAATTGTACCATGTACTTCTTCTAGATGGGCTAGAGTATGCATTTTCATTTCTGTATTGTTTTCATCTTTCTTGTAAATGGATTACCTTACATTGTTAGTTAAGCTTTATTGCCTTGTGTTTGCTCATTCCAGAATAAAATTATCATAAATGTTAAGCACTGTGTTCTAAGGGTTTTGGAGTGACAAATGCTCCTCCAAATGCCAAATGAAGGATTTGGTTGGGAGGTTTCAGTAAGTCAGACTTATCTATTGGACATAACAAGCACTGTGCCTACAGTCTAATTTACTTTTCACAGCCCACAAAATATTTTAATTTTTTTTTAATTATAAGAAAAATGAAGTGGAGCATGGTGTCGCATGCCTGTGATCCCAGCAGCTCAGGAGGCTGAGACGGGAGAATCATGAGTTCAAAGTCAGCCTCAGCATGGGTGAGGCACTAAGCAACTCAGTGAGACCCCGACTCTAGATAAAATACAAAATAGGGCTGGGGATGTGGCTCAATGGTCTAGTGCCCCTGAGTTCAATCCCTGGTACAAAAAAAAAGGAAAAGAAAAAAATGAATATAATAGTACATAATAATAATCTAGCTTGGATCATATATGTCTTATACCAACACAGATATAAATATTATTTATGTATTTCGATATAAATATCATCATGGAAAGGGTCCAGACAAGCATAACTGGCTGAATTCCATGAAAATCTTGGGTTCCAGCTTAAAAAAGAGGGGGAAAATGGAGAACATGGAGTGGTTGACAGGGATGATGATATGACAAAGGAGAGGGGGGGGGAGGAGAAAAGAAAAAAAAAACAAGCAGAGTAGGGGTCCTTGGGAGAAAGGAATATGTGGATCTTGGAGAGGTCAGTAAGGCCTGACTGACCAGAGGGAAGAGGGTTGACAGGGTGGGACCAGATCTGCATTGGGCCCTGGCCAGCGATAAATTTAAATTGGAGGGGATTTTGCAAAGGAAAAAGAAAGAGAGGAATAAAAATAGAGGAGGTAGAAGCGGAATTGAGGAGGTAGGAGAAGTCTGTAGAGCAGAGAAGCGGGGTATGAAAGGGTGAACCTTATGAGAGAGAGGAGAGCATTCCTTGGTTTGAGGTTATAGAAATCTGGCTTTGTGATTTTGATACCTTTGCAGAAACATCAGTACTTTGTTTCAGAAAAGGGGTCCAAGCCAAAGGGGAACTAGAAGACATCTTGGCCTATTATATCCAAACTTTAATCATGTTTTCATTGCCAAAGTACATGTACACATGAATTAATTGTTATTTTATTCACTGAACAATATAAAGTGTTCATTGAATAAAATAACATGTGCACAGACATTGTTCAGAGCACTTTATAAGTATTAACATCTGTAATATGAATGAAAAAGTGGTAGTTGTCCCCTTTTTTATAAAAGTAATAAATGCAAGAGTGGAAGCTATAGCTGGAAAAAATTAGTGCCAATGAATAGGCCACTCTTAACCTCACTTTAACTAATGAGCATATACTTTTGTATCCTGCTTATAAATAAACTTATCATCATAGCATTAGTATTTTCCTGTATTAATACATTTTGAAATCATGATTATTAACAATCATGTAGTATTGTATGTACATGGGAACATAATCTTACCATTATTTTAATGTTGGTCATTGCTTTCTGATTTACATAATGCAGTTTAGCAAATGTTCTGCTTTTTTAAAAAGATGGACACAACATCTTTATTTATTTTATGTATTTATTTTTTATGTGGTGCTGAGGGTCGAACCCAATACCTCACAAGTGCGAGGCAAGCACTCTACCGCTGAGCTGTAACCCCAGCCCCGAATGTTCTGCTTTTTAATATCAAGACTTTTCATTTCAGTTCCCTTTTTAAGCTTTAAATTCCAATGCATTTGTAAGCTCTACAAAGTGCTAAATGGCAAGTGAGATATAGGATTCATATCATTGATGAGCTGGGGATTCAACAAGAAATACAATTACTAGAATATAACTTGATCATTCCCATATCTAGGTACAAACCATGGCAATACTATTTGCCTACTCAACATGTACTCCTTTGCCTTCTCACAGCACTAAAAATGTGTGAATAATACGATTTTGAGAAATATGACACATCATGTTTTTCACACATTTTCCACACAATATATAAGAACTTGAGAAGCAGAGTTCTCTTGAGCCTTTGCAGGAGAAACAAACTTTAGACTATCAAGAAATGAATGGAGGGGCTGGGGGTGTGGCTCAAGAGGTAGCACGGTTGCCTGGCGTGCATGTGGCCTGGGTTCAATCCTCAGCACCACATACAAACAAAGATGTTGTGTCTGCCGAAAACTAAAAAATAAATAAATATTAAAAATTCTCTCTCTCTCTCTCTTTTTTAAAAAAAGAAATGAATGGAGGATCCAGGGCAAAAGTGCCAATGGTAAGCATGAAATCAATTGAACTATAAGACTAAGACCAGAATAATGTAACAAAAATAAAACACACCTAGACAATAACTTGCTATACTAACACTACCAATATAGATGCAACTAGCAAAAGTTGGATCTGCAAGGGATTTATTTTCTAGCTGGGGATCAAAAAATCTGATAAGTAATAGACACATAAATATATAATTATAAATGTTTTGAGAAAAAATATAATAAATGAAAATTAGTGTTTTTCCCCTATTATTGCTTATGGCATATCAAGATAGTAGATATTTTATAAGGAAATCACTAAGCATTAAATAAAATTATAGTTGGGAATGTAATAACTAGAAAAACAGACAAGCTTTCCAAATTAAAAGAAGAAAGATTCAAGCCAGGCACAGTAGCACATGCCTGTAAGCCCGGCCGTTTGGGAAGCTGAGATAAGAAGACTCCAAATTCTAGGCCAGACTCAGCAATTTATCGAAGTCCTAACAAAATTAGTGAGACCCTGTCTTAAAATAAAAAATAAAAAGTGCTGGGAGATTTAGGAAAAAAGTGCTTCTGGGTTCAATCCCCGGAATCCCCTCCCCAATAAAATAAAATAAATATAGTTTTAAAAAGCCAGGTGTAGTGATACATACCTGTAATCCCAGCAGCTGTGGAGGCTGAGGTCATAGGATTGCAAGTTCAAAGCCATCCTTGGCAATTTAGTGAGGCCAGCCTCAGCAACTTAGGGAGACCCTGTGTGGAAAAAAAAAAGAATAAAAAATGGCTAGGTATGTGGCTTAGTGATTAAATGCCCTGGGATTCAATCTACAATACAAAAACCAAAAAGATTCAAAATTAAACTAAGAAAATATAGACTATTTAGTAAATAAAGAGAAAAAAAGAGAAGCACAAAGCCTAACAGATAGGTAATTTATTTCACTCCTCTTTCCCTAGCAGAATTCAATGAGTTTTGTAGTGAGGAATAAATGAAATAAGATGTGACATTTGACTTTACCCTGTGTCCATGAAACTCTTCCTTAGATATCCTCATGGATATCTCACCTCTTTCAAATCTTCGTTCAAATGTCACTGTCTCAATGATACTTACCCCATCATTGTTTTAAGTTATATGTGTCTCACACACATAATTTCCCCTTACCCAGCTTGGATTTCCTGCATAGAAAAGGCATCACCTTTTAACTCACTATGCAATTTGCTTATTTGTTGTTCATCAGGTTGCTTGTCCTCCCACATTAAATTTAAGTTCTGTGAGAAAAAAAGATCTTTGTTTATTGTTGTGCATTGATCTTTGACCCTAGTTTATTGATGTAGCCCAAGCACCTGTGTTTGGTATAGAATAGCAATAAATTTGTTGAATAATCAATATCTGTCTCAGTAAGTGCAAATGAGATAATTTATCTAAAATGAAAACAGGGCTAAACCTGGTATTATGCTATCATTTTTTTAAATCAGAAAAGAATATAAAGAAATCTGGTCATGTATCAATCATGTATTTATCCTGTACTCTTGGACATTAGTAATGATGACACACTAGTAATAATTGTTGCCTCTGTGGAAGGGAATGGAAAGATAAGGGTAGGAGGGAGACATTCTTTGTGGTTTTCTTCCTTTTGAATTTATGTAATTGTCACAGGCATGAAAAACTAGGCTCCTATGAAAGTTTTGGAAAAATTGCTTTATTAGAATTAGATTATTTATCTGAAATATTGGGAGAACTTCTTCTCTGGTTGCTCTATTAATACTTTTTACTTTTGATTACTACTTGCTTCTAAGAGACAAATGAAAAATAGGGCACATTAACATGAAAAGAGCCTGGAGCCTGAGGTGGCAGAAATGTTTGAGGAAATTTTAAAAACAGGAATGTTTAATATTCAATTATGTTTTTATTGTTGTAGGGTACATTTATCTCTCATCTTTTGCAAAATATGTTTTATATATGAAGAA